TGTGTGTGTGTGTGTGTGTGTGTGTGTGTGTGTGTGTGTGTGTGTGTCCAATGAGCATTATTTAGCTCTAAGGATTTACATCGGTTGCAGCTCAGCCACTAGTTATATTACTTTCTGGTTGTCATTTAAATTTCTGTCTCTCAATTTCTATCTTGTTATTTATACTGGGCTCAACACTGGGGTAATGAGCCGTATTGGAAATATTTACAGATAATATTTGTCTAAATATAATCCTCCCTCTGTATCTTCCTACTCTGTCACACAAGTATTTTATTGCAGGAGAAGAACTTGATGCATACATCTTTCCAATTTAGAACTGAAGTGTTTTGTTTACCATAAAGTGGACCCAAAACTTGCCTGCCGAGTAACACAGGCACAATTAAAAATCCACTTCAGGCAAGAATTTGATTCAGAGTTTGGAAGGGGATGATTAATAAAATGACAAAGTGCAATGATCCAGAGAGACCAGTAAATTACAATTGGATTAAAAAAATACCCACCTTCATTGCAAAGACATAACTGATTACAATCCAATCAAGTAAAAGTCCCTTCCACAAGTCAATGCACTCTCTTTGCTTCGATGAAAGAATTACATTAGCACTCAATAAATTCTCGCTAAGCTTACAGTGGCCTGTAATTTAATGACTCCATATATTATATTGCACTGGAATGGCTTGATTATACATGCTAAATGAAAGTCTGAGTTAGGACATATCTGATTCTAAAGGGTTCTTACATTAACCGTGTGTGTACATGAGTGCGTGTGTGTTGGGGACATTATTCCAGTTTTAGCATTTTCTGCAAGATTTGGCTATGGGGCCCCCAGACCCTTCCACTTTCCTACCTGTAGCCTCCTTCCCTTCCTTTCCCTGCTCAAAGTCTGTAAGGGACAGCAATGCTTTGGTTTCGTGAACCCCAGCCGCATAACAAGTGCCACCGCCAACAATCCTGCAGAATACTTAATGCCCAGATCAAAAGCTGTGGTGAAATTTCACAGGATAATGCTTAATTTTCCTCCATCAGGGCTTCCAGCAGTAGTAATGGAAGGTGATCATCTTGTAAGCAATTTGTAATGATTCTTAGTAACAGTAGAAGTTGGATTAATTCAGTAGTAATGCCTTCAGCCTCCCCCATGCACAAACAAAGCCTGAGCAAATGGGGTTTGTGTGGTGATCCATGTAGGATTTGAGGGACCCATATCAAAGATGGGGCTGAGGTTGGAAGGAAGGGAAAACCCCATGAGGCCAAACTTGCAGAGCTTCCCCCAGATTAGTCTGTTGGAGAAAGGGTGGGTGAGGTTGTCCCGTCACTTCTGTAGAATGAGAAAGGGATTTGGTACTTAAAACCAAAGATTCCCTGAGATGCACGCAGATCCACTGGGGCCCCCACTGTTCCATGGTAGGACTGCAACATCAGGCCCTTATGGGTATGTCTACACAACAAAGAAACACCCGCAGCTGGCCCAGGTCAGCTGACTTGGACTCAGGCTGCAAGACTGTACAATTGTAATGAGGATGTTCGGCTTGGGCTGGACCCTGGGCTCTGAGACCCTCTCCCCTCGCAGAGACCCAGGGCTCAGACCCCATAGCCCGAGTCCCATGACCCTGACAAGGGCCAGCTGCAGGTGTTTAACTGTAGTATAGACATACCATTAATATTAAGTCACTACCAGAAATCTTGTATCTGTAGTTTGAACTACTCAAACCAAAATCCCTAAATTCAGACAGTTGTAATATTAAAGATCCCAGTGTTGGAAAAGGTTCAACACGAGACAGAATTGGCAATCACTTACACTAGGGCAGGCATCTTCTCCTTGCTGGCCCACCAAGATGTATAAGGCATCATCCTTTTGGAGGTCAAAAATCCCCAATATGGACACACCATGGGACCTCACCATAGTATTCTTCCCTCCTTTCCCACCAGCTGCTCCATAGCCTGAGATGCTGCAATGAAAAGAAAAGAAGAGAAAAGCCTGGTACCAAATTCCATGGGTGAAAGCAGTGTAATGGAATCCTAAACCGTATTACACTGACCTTATTTAAGCTAATGTCAGTATATTAGAGCTTATAGTGAACACATTTGGCATGTATCTTTCTGGGAAAGGAAAGTAGACCATATCTAGTGCAGACAGTAGCAGCCCTGAAACCTACTGTGTACAAGGTGTGCATGGCACGGTGTCAGGAGTAAACTAGTGACAGAGGAGAATAGAAACAGAAGGGAAGCAGCAACAAAAGTTGCAGCCAGAAGGAACAAAGCACCAAAGGTTGCAGGATCTCATCTACATGCCTCTCTTCGATGCCCCAGAGAACTTCAGCTTTGAGAAACCTTCACAATGGACAGACTGAAGCAGTATTTTGCAAAGTTTGGAATTGCTACCAAACCGAACACTACAAGTATGCTCTTTAATTTATGCTATGGGAAAGCAGGCAGAGCATATCTTTATATCCATTGACTTTACTAAAGACAGTCACAAAGAAGACTATGGGTACGTCTACACTACCCGCCGGATTGACGGGTAGTGATTGATCCCCGATCATTCTGCCGTCGACTCTGGAACTCCATCGCAGCAAGAGGCGGAAGCGGAGTCGATGGGGGAGCGGCAGCGGTCGACTCGCTGCCATCCTCACGCCAGGTAAATCGACCTAAGATACGCCAACTTCAGCTACGCTATTCGCGTAGCTGAAGTTGCGTATCTTAGGTCGACCTCCCCACTCCCCAGTGTAGACCTAGCCTAAGAAAGGGTTCTGGCTATATTTGATGCATACTTTATACCCCAGAAAAATGCGGTTTATAAAAGAACATGTTTTCACCAGAGAATTCAAGGACCAGGGAAAAGCCTTGAATGTTTTATAAGAACTCTGCATGCATTGGCTGAAAACTGCAAGTTTGGAACTGCAAAACATGAAAATGTCAGGGCTTGTCTCCACTTACCAGGGGACCGATGGGTGGCGATTGATCCACCGGGGGTTGATTTAGCGGGTCTAGTGAAGACCCGCTAAATCGACCGCCAATCGCTCTCTCCTCGACTCTGGTACTCCACTGGAAGCATAAGGCATAGTTGACGGGAGAGTTTCTCCAGTTGACCCGGCGTGGTGTAGACACCGCAATAAGTCGACCTAAGATACGTCAACTTAGATACGCAACGTCAATGCGTAACTTAGGTCAACTTAGCCCCGTAGTGTAGACCTGCCCTCAGAGACAGGATGGTTATTAACAGATAAAAACCTTTCACAGCAGCTACAACTGAAAAGATTTAACCCTAAGCACAGCTATCCAGAGAGCAAAGCAGTCTGAGCAGTGAGACAGCAAAACCAAGAGCAACTTGCCAAACTTGAAAAACAAGAAACTAGCTTAGAAGCAGTTAACAGATGCAGCATGAGTGCTACAAGGCTTTACCATAAGACCGCTGAGGCAGAGAGAGAACTGCCAGGTAAGAGGCACAAATTCCAGCCAAACACCAAAGTCTGACAGCCTAAATGCACAAGATGTGGAAAAATTCATATCTCAACAGATGATGCATGTCCAGCCAAAGGCATAAGCTGCGATAATTGCACAAAATTATGGACATTTTGCAGTTGTTTGCTGCATCAAAGCAGTCAGGGAATTGACTCATATTACAATCAAAAGCCATTGTTTCTGGGATCTATCCCTTGTGATAACATAGAGCCTTCCTGGAGAGTGAAACTGAATAGTCCAGTAAAGACTATTGACTTTAAAAGTGACAATTTTACATCAGATGACAGACACACAGTCAGAGAACTGCCAGGTCTAGAACTCGGTGTCCGTGTTCGTATCAATTGGATTTAGAAAAAGGATGGACAACTCCAGCTGTCATAAAGAAAAGAATTCAGTGCCCCAATCATATGTGATTGAGACCAACAGTGAATAGTTCAACAGGAACCACTGACATCTATAATTTGTTCTTCAGAAAAAACGATCAACAAAGCAAACTCTATAGATGGCGGATGCAGAACAAGATGATGACTCAAGGATTCCGGACCAACTACAGCCAGTCATTGCAACTAATGGACAGCCAGAGTCACATAATTAGAAAACCAGTGTGATTCAGAGACACTTAACAGACTGATCCGTTCTGAATTTCAAAGACAGTGTAAATTTGGTAAATGGTAGGAATGTAGAACTTAAAGGGGGAGATGTAAGGGAATGCTAAACTGTATTATACTGTTAAGCCACTAGGTGGTACTGTGTGTAACATACCTTATTTAAGCTAACCTCAGACTTACATGGCAGAACATTAAAGGAGCTTATAGTGAACACATCTGGTCTATCTCTCTCTAGGAGAGGAAAGCTTAGGGTTGCCAACTTTCTAATCACACAAAACCAAACACTCCTTCCCCGAGGCCTCTCCCCTGCCCCGCCCCTTCTCTGAGGCCCACTCTCTGCATCCCCCCTCCCTCTGTCGCTCACTCTCCCCCACCCTCACTCTCACTGGGCTGGGGCAGGATTTGGGGTGCGGGAGGAGGGTGAGAGCTCCGGGGTAGGGCTGGGGATGAGGGGTTTGGGGTGCAGGAGAGGGCTCCGGGCCAGGGTAGGGGGGTATGAGGTCTGGGCTGGGATAGCAGGCTCCAGGTGGGGACAGAAATAGGGGTTCAGGATTTGGGAGAGGGCTCCGGGCTGGGGCAGGGGGTTGGGGTATGTGGAGGGGTGAGGATTCCATCTGGGGGTGCAGGCTCTGGGGTGGGGATGAGGGATTGGGGTGCAGGAGGGGGCGGGATCTGGGGTGGGTCAGGGATGAGGGGCTTGGGGTGCAGGAGGGGGTGGGGCAGGGTGTTGGGGTATTGGGGGTGTGGGCTCCAGGACGGAGTTTGGGTGTGGGAGGTGACTCTGGGCTGGGGCAGGGAGTTCGGGTGCTGGAGAGGGTTCGGGGTGCAGGGTTCAGGCAGTACTTACCGCGGCTCTCAGGAAATGGCCACCAGGTCCCTGCCGCCCCTAGATGCATGGGAGGCTCCATGCGCTGCCCTTGTACCCGCAGGCACTGCCCCCACAGCTCCTATTGGTCGCAGTTCTTGGCTAACGGGAGCTGTGGAGCTGGCCTCAGGGCGGGGGCAGCACGTGGAGCATCCCTGGCTGCTCATGCATCTAGGGGCTGCAGGGACCTGGTGGCCGCTTCTAGGAGCCACACGGAGCTAGGGCAGGCAGGAAGCCTGCCTTAGCTCCAGGCCCCCACTGCGCCACCGACCAGACTTTTAATGGCCCAGTCAGCAATGCTGACTGGAGCCGCCAGGGTCCCTTTTCGACCGGGCGCTCCGGTCAAAAACTGGATGCCTGGCAACCCTAGGAAAGCTCTGTGGCCAGTCCATATTGGGTACAGAAGCCTGACCTGCTAGTAGCAGCCCTGCAACCTACCGTGAACAAGAAATACATGGTAAGCAGCTTCTAAGAAGAATCACAGGAACTACAGATGGAACAGAATTGATCCTTTCCCCTGTCAATAGCAGATTCTGTGATTACACTTGCAAAGAACATCAGCCAATTATTATTATTTATTTGTACTGCTGTAGCACTTAGGAGCCTCAATCAGGGAATCAGGGCTCCATTGTGGTAGGCACTATATGAACACATAACAAAAAGATGGAGTCTGCTCCAAAGAGCTTACAGTCTAAGAAAATCAAGATCCAAAACCTCCTTGGAAAAGCAGGATTGTGAACTCTGAAGACTGATGTCCTCTGCTTATCCACAGAACAAGTACAGCCAGGGCAACAGCAGTGCAAGCATCTCTCACTTCTACTCCAGAGTAAGAACAGCTGATGCTGAGCAAGGGCTTGTAAACACAACTTTGTTGTGTAGAGAGATTCCTCTCCTCTGGACTGCGTACTCCTTGCTAGCTTTAGAGTTGAACACAGGGAGAGAGAACACAACGAGGGTCTATAAATATGAGATTCAACAGGAGGAGACTCGAGGAAGCAGACAAGGAAACTGTTCCAGATGACAGGGGCTGCAGGGGAGAAGGCTCTCTCGCACCAACAGTGGCAAGACTGTGTGAAGGGACTGAAGAAGCATAGAGAGAAACTCTGGCTGGAGCAAGTTCAAGTGTACTTTGACAAATAAGGCAGGCAAAGTCACCTGACCTTTATATTTAGTGTGTAACACGCACCTTCTCAAGGTGGTGCTCTGTCCCCCTCAAGTGGTGTCTGCTCCACATATAAAGGGTGATATTTTTGGCCATTCATTGAAAGTGAAGCTTTTCATGGGAAAGGATTGGTGTCAAAGAATTGCCTGTTTCGAAAATTTTTTCAAAAAAAGTTTCAAAATCATCAAGACAGCCTGACCGGCATTTCCACAATGAAATGTTCCTTTTTTTTGGACTGTAAGAAAAGGCTTTTCATTACAAAATTAAAATTAATTGATGTAAACATATTTTTTTAAACAAAAAAGGGTTGAAACTGAAATGAAATGTTTCAAAATGATTAAAACAAAATGTTTTGATGGACTCAAACCAGGGTTTGGGGGTTTTTTGGATGATCAGATGAGATTTTGGCTTTTTGTCCCAATTCAAAATGGGAAAAAAATATTGAATTTTCCCATGAGAGGAAAGCTATTTCCCACCCTGTCCTAGGGATGAGCCTCCTACAGCCTTGGGCTTTTAACTCGATCAGTAGAGCCTCACATTTTGAAAACCAGATGTTCCAGATACAATCCCCACTGCAGACAACCCACCCAAAAATGTCACGTTACAATTATTTCCCTCAAATCCTCCCTCTTTAATGCAAAATAATAAAAATAAATGTGCTCCTCTATAGCAGCATTCATCCAAGGACCTCAAAGTACTTCAGAAACACTGAACTAAGCCAGGCAACTCCCACTGTGAGACAGGTATGAATTACAATACTCATTTTAGCAGTGGGGAGACTGAGACACAGAGAGCCAAATTTCAATCCAGTGTACGCAGATGAGTCTCCACTGACTTCAGTGGCATTACAAC